GCCTTTCATTGCGTTTCATCCAACGGCTATAGATGCCTCCCTCATTTCACATAAGAGTGTCCTAACCTAGGATCATTTTAATCTTTCTTCTCCAGTTCGAAATTGTCCCCAACCCTAAGAGACGCGTCGCCCTGTAATCCCTAAGGCGCTTCCGGCGGCGGCACGGCCCCAACTGACCCTAAACTCCTCCTCCACAACCCCCACACCTCATGGAAGATGAACCCATCGTCGCATACCCTCAAAACCCCACCAAATCGGGTCAATTCCAGATCTAAAGAAGGAAAAGAAATGCAGAATCTCCCCAAGTCTTCGAGTTTTTGAGAACGATTAGGGCAGAAATTGTCATTGGTCGTTTGTTCTCGATGAGAACACGCGATTGATGCCAAATTCGGGTCAAATCGTAGTACGTTTGAGGTTCGTCAAGCCTCGTCCGCCTGCCTATTTAGGTATTTCCATTTTCCTCTCATTCTTCTTCGTTTTGTTTCGTTGTTCATTATCGTCCCCTTTTGTTTCCTCTCTTTTCTTATTTATTTTTTTACTGTTTTTGAAAGTTGTTATGCTTACATGATTAAGATTGAGTCGTGTCATTGTAATGTTCAGTATTGATTTAGGATTAATATTTGCCAATTTTTACTTTGTTTTATCTAGTGTTCAGTTCTGCTTTTGTGCCCAAATTCAGAATATGAAGTCGTTTGGTCTCGTTAGTCCGATTGGGGAATTCATCTGCTTAAAATTGAAATTGGGTCGGTTAAGGGTGAGAAGCCCAATTGGATGTTTAAAACTCGATGAGGCAGGGGCCCAAAGGTATGTGGGCAGTTTGGGGTGCAAGATTGTTTGTAAAGTAATTAAGGGGCATTTGGGGGGTAGCTTAGGAATTTGGCTTGGGGAATCTTTAATATAACTACCTAGGAAGCTTCCTAGAAGCTGAAAAAGAGTCTTACTTGGCAAGAAAGCCAAAATTTGAGGGATTAAGTAGCAAAAAAAAAAAATTAAAAAGGGCAGAATTGAAAAACTGAAATCTGCTAGTTGCCCTATTGCCTTGCCTATAAAGGCATCTCATTCTTGCCTTTCAAGGCAGAGACCGAAGAGATAAAAATTCCAAAAAAAGAGAAACGGCTGGAAATCAGATAAAAAAACACTGTTCTATTGGATTTTTGTTTCAAATCGTGAGATCTTTAATTGCTGAAACAATCTATGCTTCATTTGGGTTGCGATGAATTAAGATCAAGTCTGGTTTGAAGTCTTCTGGTTCATTGAGTGGTTGAAATTGGTGTCTGGACTACTATACTTCATTTGTTGGGTTTTTAAAATTGGTTTGCTGGTTCATTATTGGTTGTTGGGTTTAGTGCTGTTGCTGTTCATTGCTTTCACCTCTTCCTCCTTTTGTAATTTCCAGGTACACTATCAAAACTTGTCATGGAACTGAGTATTGACTAGCATGTATGAAGATTTGGAAGTTCAAGTTGAAATTTGAATAGACATCTTAAATTTCTGATGTAGTTACTGTTATTTATTATCATTATGTGTGATTAGATGCTTCATTTCGTTTAGTTTAACTTCTGGTTTGTGCTGAGTGTTGGTTCATGCTAATAGCTTAGTGTGATTTAGTTGCTTAGATTTAGTGTATAATTTCAGAATATTGGGTGTTGTAATATTGTTTGAACTCTAGTTAAATGAATGGAGTGTTTTAAATGGTATTATTTAAGGCTGTCAAGCCTGCTATATTGTGGATCTAGAAAGGGATTTATGTGTATTCAAGTTGCTAATGAACAATATGCCTGAAAATAGCATCTCTTAGCTTCAGATTGATTGTGTGTTCAGCTAGTAGTGCTCTTCCTCTTTTCTCTATTTTGTTTTTCTTCCTAAGCTTTAGTGTTGGTTGGAAAACTCAAGTCTTACTAGTAGTTGAATCTGCTAGTTTAATGCAAGTTTTATTTAAGGACTAGAGGATTGTTATGGCTAATGGCATTTGTTTTTTACTTTTAGCTTGTCACTTTAATTCTGAAAGGTTGGGATGTGTTTAGTCGAGAAGGTTGATGATTTAAGTTCAGAAATTGAAGTTTCATGATTGCCATTTTAATTGGTGCAAATATGTGGACACTTGGTATAACTTGAGCATGAGTATTTGTTTAAAATTGAAGTTTGGTTTGTTTAGATATGCAAAGGTTTCTATAATAAGCTAGAATCAGGAGTGTGCGGATCACTGTGATACGAATTTAAAATTGAACTAAGTGAGTTTTTCATGCTTGCTCATTATGTCGTTTCATAGAATTCCATTTACTGTTCACATAGATTAAGCCAAGGTTTTAAATAAATTGGAGTCACATGGTTGTTTTGTAAAGTTGGTTAATAGATTGACGTCAAGTATAATGGACCAATGAATGTTTGATTTGGGAGTATTTGATCAAATTACCTATCTATCACTCGTTGTTAAAATAGTTGTAAATCTGGAATTCCAATGGGAGTTTATGCATATGGTCTTTTGGGCTCGGATTCAAAATAGGCTTTGCTTCATGTTAGTTTAATCAAAATGTGTCAACTTCTCTGCCTCTTCTTCTTGCTTTTACGTTAATGTCAAATGTGAGCATGCTCGGCGTAATTTCGTATTTGGGCCCGATGTCCATCTAGTCCAGTTTTTCTTTTAAAAGATCTTGATTTTCAAAGTCAGGGACAAGGCCGAAACCATATCCCCAAGCCCATCAGCAAATAAGGCATCATGTATATGGATGAGTATAGTGCAACTGGAAGGTTGTTTGGGGGGGGGGGGGGAGTTTATCTTGCATTAAAATGGATCACAGTTTAACTGAGGGGAGCCATGATAGCCAAACGATTAATTTACGGCCCTCATGAAATAATTTAGAAACTTGGTTAGAATAGTCCGAGGTGTGCCATCCACCATTTAATCATTCATGGCCCTCGCATTAATTTCATGACTTAGAAAAGACAAATACTCGTAGTTGCTCTAGGCCCGTTTAATATATCATTGTGATTGTGGATACGTTCGCGTGACATGATCGCGATCTCTAAAAACAAAACGGGAGTATGCGTTCGCGCAACTTCGGCCAAACTTTCTTAATAATAATAAAGCGTTATTAATTGTGGACACGTTCGCGTGACATGATTTTGACGCACCAAACAAATGGGTACACGTACACGTGACCCGTTTTATGATAATTTTCTTAAAAGCGGTAAGAGGTAAATGCACATGTTCTAAAATCAGTGATTAAACAATTTGATTAAGCCAAGTATGATCAAAGCGATCGTGCTAGAACCACGGAACTCGGGAGTGCCTAACACCTTCTCCTGGGTTAACAGAATTCCTTACCCAGATTTCTGTGTTCGCAGACTGTATAACAGAGTCATTCTTTTCCTCGATTCAGGATTTAAACCGGTGACTTGGGACACCATAAATTATCCCAAGTGGTGACTCAGAATCTTTTAATAATATAATCCCGTTTCGATTGTCCTTTAATTGGAAAAACTCCCTTAATACCCTTCCGGGGATAGGAATAAGGAGGTGTGACATTGGGTTGTTTGAATGAGGTCTCAGGGTCCTCGGGTGAATTACGGATGGCTAACGGATCAAAAGTTGGACTTAATGCATTACTGGAGAATTTGGATTATTGGTGTAACAGCATCTGCGGTGGGATTGACCAAAAATCCGACGTTGGAGGTGTGACTGGGGTGTCGCATGTGCGGAGAGGGCCTGGCTTAGGGATTATTGCAGAAGCAAGCTGGGTTTCATAGAAGCGAAGTTGCTTCCACGATGGTCGTTCCGTAGAAGCGGAGTTTGGCGTGATGGGCAGGAACCACAGATGCAGATGGTTCCCACAGGTGCGGGTGTAGACATGTGATTTTTGACCCTCCCCAAGATTTTTCATATTTTAGCATGTAAATATTTAATTTAGGCATAGTATAGCTATTTCAACTCATTTTTACTCTTTTACTTTATTTTATTACAAGAAAACGAAAATTACAAAAAATAGGATCATTAATGTTTTGCAGTCATTTTTAATCTTGAAAAAATACCAAAAAAAATAGTTTTGTTTTAATGGTCAGTCTTATTTTAATAATTATTTTTACTTAAGTAGAGCTAATTAATATTTTTGATAATACTTTTAGTTAATTAAGCAAATTTTAAATATAGCTAGTCATAAAGGCCCAAGTTTCCAGCTCATTCCTTAAGCTCAATATCCAATACCCATTAAGCTAATCCTAGGGACCTTTCTAGACTCTTCTTGGGAACAAAAGATAAATAAAAAAACCTAGGGACCTAATACACAAAAGACCTAGGGACTAATTTGCAAAATACACAAAAATACACATTTAGACCTAGACCTATATAATAGGGGTTAGCCTAACGCCAAAAGGGGAGCTAAAAAAATACAGTCTGAAAGGAGGAATCAGCGCAGCTTTTCACAAGACCCCATCCCCTGTACTTTTCGTCTTCTTCTCCATCCTAATTTCTAAAAAAATACCTGTAGCATCCTCCCCATGGGAACTCGTTAGCTTCACCCCAATCCCCCATTTTTCTCCACTTAGAGCAACTCCAACCTTGCCCCCATCCCCCATAATGGGAAAAAAAATGGGGGAATTTTACTCCAACCCACCCCCATATTTGTCCCCAAAATGGGGGATGAATAGTGTTCCCTCAAATATGGGGGTACACTATTCATCTCCCCCATTACTATTCACCCATATTTTATTATTATTTTAATTATTTAATCTTTTAGTTTAACTCTTTATATATACTAATTATGTTTATGTAATATCTTTATAATATTAATATTATATCTTAACTTTGGTGTATAATTTTGATAAACTAATTTTCGTGCATTTATTATTTTTATGTAAAATTATAAGCTAATTTTATTATAAGTTAATTGTACAAAAAATATATAATTATCTCAAAAAAATGAATGGTGCAAATATAAAATATTAGATGTTGTTAATATTGAAAGGTGCGAATATAAAATATTATATGTTGCTAAAATTGAAAAGTGAAAATTAAAAATACATTAAATGAAAATACATTAAATAAAAATACATAACAATAGAAACTACGGTAAATAGCATAATAACTTAGTAGGGACCTATGTCGTTTCCAGATACACCAAAATCATTATAGTATTGACTGAATGGGGCTGAGGATTGTTGTGGTTGCGATTGTGAATATTCTTGACTTCTTTTATACATTATTCGTTGTTGTTCTTGTCGCATAAATTCACGACGAGCCGGATCGACAATAGAATCCACATTCATCATTAAAATTTTATTTTCTTCTTTCATTTCTTTTACTCTTACTTTTTTCTTTAGAACAGTCGAGACTTCCATTTTTGCCTGGGTTGCATTATTCATCGCCTCAACCATCCGATTATTATCTGATTGGATTGTCTTCATATATTCTTCGTCAATTTTTCTCTTCATTTTTGCTTTCTTCACTCCACTAGGCCGTTGTGATGATGTGGAATCACCTGCAATATCCTCATTTAAATTTAGTGAGAATGATGATAAGTTAGGAGATGACATATAGGGTGAATCAGGGGTAGGATTCTCAGGCTCCGATGATATATTAGAATTTGCTTGCTTTCTTGGTTTTTTCCTTCCAAAATCGCCATCGTTAAACTTCTCAAAATCCTTCATTATAGCCCACACATGATCAAATTTAAAACCCTTTTTGAAGTTCGGATCTTGCATAAGTAAAGCTTTTGCCTGTGTAAGCTGCAATATTAAAAAACAATTTAAAAAAATAGCAAGTAAATATATATACAAATAAAATAAAACTACAAATTAAATACTCACAATATCTTGCTCAGAAGCACCACTAGGACGCATATTTTCTACTTGACGTACACATCCGTTTAATTTTCTTACTGCCTTCTCAATTATTCCATATCGGTGTTGCAACGATTTCTTGGTGCGAATCTCCCAAATATCTTCCTTTGTATTGTTGTATGCATCCATGACTCGACCCCAAAATTGATCTTTGGATTGATTGACGCCCGTTATCGGATCTTGAGAAACATCTAAATGCATTCTACATAATAGAATATCTTCGTTTACAGTGTATCCTGCAGATCGAATAGACATATTTTCAACTGATTAGAGGAAAAGTAAATTATCGGAAGAAAATAGAAGTTAATTGTGATTATAGAGGGTTATGTTGGCACCTCAATATATAGAGGTTTTAGTGGACACAATAATTTAGTAGATGAGAAGATGATAGATGTTATTTTGATCTCGGCCGTTGAGTGGATTTCGTTCCCATCTCGACCGCCCGATGGATTTTATCCTTATCCTATTTTATCTTCAAAATAAAATATCTCTACACATATTCTTGAAGCTGTGGCTGATTATGACCTTTGGATATGGCATGCATATTTTGGTATGCCCGGCGCCAATAATGACATTAATGTTTTAGAGTCATCACATTTGTTTTCCAATCTTGCTGCAGGTACTGCTCCTCCCGCCCATTATGTTATTCAAGGACAAGAATATAATACGGGTTATTATTTAGCTGACGGCATATATCCAAAATGGTCAACCCTTGTGCAAACTATTCGTGAGCCACGTTCGGCAAAGAAGAAATATTTTGCGATGAAACAAGAATCATGCCGAAAAGATGTTGAACGTGCATTCGGAGTTTTGCAACAACGTTTTGCAATTGTTGCAGGACCCTCGCATTTTTGGCATAAAGAAGTGCTACATGATATAATGACTACATGTATTATACTGCACAACATGATAATCGAGGATGAGCGCGATCTTAATACACCAATTCAAGATGATTTGGAAGGTCCAACTCCAACAGTAGAAATTACAGTAGATGAAAATCAACGATTTCAAGAATTTTTAGCTCGACATAGAAGAATTAAGGACAAAGATGCTCATTTTGCACTTCGTAATGCATTAATAGATCATTTATGGGAGAATACTAGAGGTTGAAGTAGAATATTTATCTAGTATTTCGAATAAATTTTATCGTTATGTAATATGTATTTAATTAATCTTGTATCGCAATGATTTCACTTTTATTTGAATTACTAATTAATCTATAATAATTGCTTACAAATTATATTATTTAAAATTTTATGGAATTATTTTAATTATGGAAATTATAAATTAATAAAAATAAAAGATAGAATTTGTTTAATGGAAATTAAAAAATGAAATTGAAATGAAAGATAATAATAAAATATAGAAGAGAGAGAAGAATATAAAAAAATTTGGGGAATGGTTGGAGTAAGTTGTCCCCAAAATGGGGAAATTAAAAATGGGGGCAAGGTTGGAGTTGCTCTTAAAAAACCTTCAAATTCAGCCACCAACACCAACAGCCAACTGACTCCTTCACCTAAGAGACGACAAACACAAAAGAAAACCAAAAAAAAAAAAAAAAAAAGAACAAAGAACAAAGAGAGCGGATAAAAATCAGGAGCAAAAATTCTGTAGTTGAGGTTTTGGATGCTCGGATCTGAGTAACAAAGAGGTGGCAGGATTGTTCGTTTCGGTGCTTGAGGTTTCCGGTTCCGATTTCTGTTTGTACCATTGTTGCTGTTATTGAGCTGGCATCACATCTCGAGGACCACTCTCATCTTGCTCTGTTAATTGATATGTCAATAATTTAGTGTGGACATTGCTTATTGTTAATTCTTTGTTGAGCTTCATATTAGATTGAAATGTGAAAAAATGCTTCTACTTATTTGTGTTAGTTTAGATACGAGATGAATGGTGTTAAATTACAAGCAGCTCATTTGCATTTAAGTGTTAAGGTGCTATTTTATTTTTTATTTTTAAAAAGAAAGAGTCTTGGTTAGAGTATATGGGAAATAAAATGACTTAAAACATTGATGCACAATTTTAGAGTAACAAGCTGGGTAAGGTGACGTCCACTCTTGGAAAGGATATTAATGGAATCAACCATTTGAACAACTGTTGGAAGCATGTTTGAATTCATTAGCGTAGTCGTTGTTTTGATATTAGAGTAGCATTTTTGTTAAATGGTTTAATTGTTCCAAAAGTAGGATTCAACAGTTAGTCGTTTTAGGATTACATTTCATGATAAGTTGTAAAAATCTTAAGTAATTTTTGGGAATTAAGTTGCTTTCCTTGGGGGCATTAAAATTGATGCAATAACTAATTTTCACCCTTTTCCACAACAATAAATTCCATAGTCATGACCTCCTAACTTATCTCAATTAGTGTGGGAAAATAACTTATGAATATTCTAAGATATTTTTAGGTGGGCTTTAATCTATCATTGAGATTGTGGACACGTTTGTGTGACATAATTACGATTTTAAAAGCAAAATCGAAGTATGCGTTCGCGCAACTTCGGCCCAAATTTTTCTTAATAATAATAAAGCATTACTAATTGTGGACACGTTCGCGTGACATGATTTTTGACGCGCCAAACAAATGGGTACACGTGCGTGTGACCTGTTTCAAGATAATTTCTAAATTAAAAGAAGCAAATGCACATAGGTTCTAAAATGAGTAATTAGACAATTTAATAAGCCAAGTATGATCAAAGCGACCGTGCTAGAACCACGGAACTCGGAAATACCTAACACCTTCTCCCGGGTTAACAGAATTCCTTACCCGGATTTCTGTGTTCGCAGACCGTAAATAGAGTCAAACTTCCTCGATTCGGGATTTAAACCGGTGACTTGGGACACCATAAATTATCCGAAGTGGCGACTATGAATTTTAAATAAAATAATCTCGTTTCGATTGTCACTTAAATTGGAAAAAGCTCCCTTATACCCCTTCCGGGGGTAGGAAAAAGGAGGTGTGACAGCGAGCATGCAGAAGCACTTGGTAGACCGCAGAAGTGGCAGGTCGGAGTTTTAAGTCGTCTTCGCAGAAGCGAGACTTTGTCCGTAAAAGCGGAATCGCATGTGCATTAATGGAGGCCATAGAAGCGAAATCGCTAGCAATGTGCTATAAACGAGGGTTTGATTGTTTTTCTCATTTTGGGGATTTTGAAGTTCGATCTAGGGCGATTTTTGGAGAAGGTTCCATCTAATTTGAAGAGGCAAGTGACTTTTAGTTATTTTTGTCCATAAATATTGAATACTCATTGATTATTTCACCTATTTCTCATGAACCTAAGTTAGAATTTGGGTGTTTTTGGACTATGTTATTGGTGAGTCAAATTTGTGGATTTGAGGGGTGATGTGTGGTTGGAATTTGATGATTTTGGTATGGCTGGACTCGTAATTGAATGGATGTTTGAAATTTGTAAATTTTATCGGGTTCCGAGGTGCGGGCCCGAGGTTGACTTTTTGGGTTGAGTTAAAGACCTTAGCTTTATCTTTTGGAATCATTTTCTATGGCTTTTATTGATAGTATTACGTTATTTTGGCTAGATTCGGGCCTTCCGAAGTTTGATACGCGCGGGAAGGGCTTGTTAAAGGATTAATTTGGCTTACTTGAGGTAAGTATCTTATCTAAACTTGGTTGAGGCACTAGTTTCTTGAATTATTGTGATAGCTACGTGTCATTGGATGCGCACATGTGTGGGGTTTGAGCCCATGTTCTAACACCGGGGGTATTTTATCCATGCTCGGGTTGTGCTTAGGCTATGATATGCCTGGATTTGATTGTTAAGCTTTAAGCTATGATGTTTCTCACATTTGTAACAATGTTGTAAACTATTTGAGCCATGTTAGGCTACGTAGAGGTTTAATCCCTGAATGAACTTGATAAATGCTATTCTGTGATGAGATTTACCCATTCGAGCTATGATAGTACACTTTGCACATGCCTACACTTAACATGTCACTTTTACTAGTCCAGGAGCGTGTGATTTGTTAATTATTCATTACGTACATGTATTCTTGTTATTTGCTCCTGTTTGATATGATTGGACTGGGTGCTTGTGACCACGCCGGGCGAAGTGTGTTGTTATGCCTGTGACCACGCCGGAAGGATTGTGTTGTTATGCATGTGACCACGTTACGCGGATTGTATTATGGTACCTGTGACCACGCCAAGCGGATTATGATATTGAGCCTGTGACCACGCCGGGCTGGTAGCACGTTGAATTGGCCGTGCTTGCGTGTCCTTACGTAACCCTCTCATGTTTCTCTCTTGATGGTGTACACGCGAATATTGAGGAAATCTGATCAATGGTTTGGTATGGAACTAGGAAGGTTGAGGAAAACTGGCCAGTGTTTGTTTGGATTTTGCATTTCATCTTTACTTGCAATTTTCGTGATTATTTACCTGATTTAAGTGCATATCATATCTATATGCCGAATATTGACTGAGCAGAGTATTTGAGAAATTGTACACATACACACAGATATTTCTTCACATGCTTTATGACTTGATTTCATTGTTGCTCTGTACTTGTTAAAAAGATGAAACTGTACAGGTGATAGCTAGCATCATTTATAATTTGTGCTTGTTTTAACTCGCCAAGGTTAGCTACGATACTTATTGAGTAAATTGGGTCGGTTGTACTCATACTACACTCTGCACTTCCTGTGTAGATACAGGTACATCTAGACGCACTGTTAGATTGGTGCTAATACCTGCTCGGAGACCTTGAGGTAGCTGCAATGACGCCCGCAGACCTTGACTCTCCTTCTTTTTATTTTATTTAGTACTGTTCTATTACTCAAACAGTTGTACTAGAGTTTCAGACTATGTTGATACTTAGTAGCTCATGTACTCGTTGACACCAGGTGCTGGGTTGGTTATAGCAGAGTTTCAGTTAGTTTTATCAGTTATTTATGAGATTTTCTGTTGTTGAGTTTATTAAACCTGTTTCATTCAAATGTTTAGTTGTTATATGATTGTCGGCTTGCCTAGTAAGTGTGTTAGGCGCCATCACAACGGGATGGGATTTTGGGTCGTGACAATTTATTGCAACAGTTTGCATAACCGTTGCTGTATCACTATCTATTGCAACGGTTTTTTCTTCCTACTACAAAAATTAAAGCTAAAGCACCATCCATGCCGCATTTCCCAATCATTTTAACTTCCTTTAGTTTGAAAGTTTAGTCGACCTCAATTAGTAATACCAATAAGACTAATAACAACTAAGCTATGCATATTATCAATCCAAAGACACGATGCATACAAAGCTTCTAAAGCTCCAACCATAAGACATTAGCCCATCCTTGATGAGCTGAAGGCACAATCCATTCATTGGGCCTGACAAAAGATAGTTAAGCCCAATATACATTGCATACAACCTTCCATACATTAGTCCATTCCTTCTGGGTCGAATTGTGTTGATTCCCAAAAAGTAAAAAATTAGAGCTAAAGCACATTTTTCCCTTTCAAGAGAAATTAACACTAAGTGACAACACATAATAGGAATTGTCTTCTGAATAGATCTCTCTTTCGTTGCTATATTCAGGTACTTTCTTTTTTCTTTTTCTTTGAAAATATTTTATATGTTTCAATTTCTCCTTTGATTCATAATCACTCCCTGAAATTCTTGCGATTTTTGAGGATCTATATGATACGAAGCTTTGATGAGGTCTTTTTTCTCACAAAACTGCTGTAGTACTTTTTTATTAAAATTATTTTTGGATTAATTGCTGGATGGTAAAGTTTGTTTCTATATTTTTTTAAAGAGGGATAATGGTGTAGTATTTCTCTTTCAAATTTTTTTTTTTGTTTAATAAAATTGTGATATACAATTCTTGTGATATATATTTTGATATACATATTATTATTGTATTATACATTGTAATACACAAATAATGCAATTATTAATGTGTTATACATATCTAGATATATATTATTATTGTATTATATAGTGTGATATACAAACTATATTTATTTCTTTTTGTTTAATAAATTGTGCTACAATATTTGTGATATACATTTCAGATACACATTATTTATTATATACTGAGATATACAAATAATGTAGTTATTGTTATGTTATATTTTTGAGATATATATTATTTTTCTGTTATACACTATGATATACAAACTATATTTGTAAGTTTTTTTATATTTTTAGTGCTTGTGAGCAATAATTAAAAAAAAAACTCAGAAAAAAATTGTAGAGATTTGGGAGATACTTAGATTGTAGAGATTTGGGATAAAATCTTGAAAGATTTTTGTTTACCTTGAAAATGGTAATTACAATTAGATTTGATTTTGTGGTTCTAAAGATACGTGATCTATTTTTATGCTAGTTGTTTAGGCAATAGATGCTAAGTAAGAGATAGAGAACAAGGTGGTAACCAAACCAAATGGCTGATAATCGGGACCTCGAGCTTGCCTATTCGGGGTCTCGAGGTCGAGTCTGATGTCCTACCGGAGGCAGTTGGTGGACGAATAACAATTATGATAAAATCAATGGTGGCTTTTTATGGTCAATAATAAACAATAAATGAAGAAAAATAAATGGAACAAAATAAATGTAAGTAATAGATGAAGCAATAATAACAAGACAATATGTTAAGTTAGAGAGCAGAGAGAATGTTCTTGTATTGAATATTGAGTATCATATCACTTTACAAAGTGACAAGGATCCCCCTTATATATCAGGGGGAATCCACATATAGTACAAATGCATTTATTACAAAGATATGAGATTGATACAACTAAATAATGCTAGGATACGGGTCTGAACCAGCCTACTAGCTAGGCGTTGTCAGCCCTAGTCACTTGCCTTGGGAACTTCCCTCTTTTTCTTCATAGCTGTCGAGCTGTATTGTCTCGAGCCCCTCGGGCGTAAATCTCGACCGTATCCTTGAGCCTTTGACCGACGTGCTTACAAAGCGCCGTAATGGCCGAAAATTGGACCCTCCGATTTTACCGCATACAATTTTCAACTACTAACTAAAAGGAAATGAAAACTTATTTTTAGGGTGATGGTTGAACCAATAGAAGAGAGAGAAGATCCTTAAATATTAAATTTAGGCTACGTATGCCAAATGCTGAAAGATAAGCTTTTTTCTGCCAATTATTGGACTAAGTTGTCATGAGATGCCAATTTCCCTTTTTTCAGCCATCTTAATTTCCAGTAGTTTGAAAGCTTAGCCGACCTCAATTAGTAGTACCAAATTACCAATAAGTTAAATAGCAACTCAGCTATGCAATTCCTGTGGCATATTATAAGACAATGAATATCGCAAACTTTTGTAATTGGTCTTCTCCATTTCTATTACTATTTGTATAATACAGCCTTTCAGGAGGGTTAATAGAAATGTCTTTGGACTGAACGAAAAGAAGGGAAATGACAAGGCGAAATGGAAGGTTCTTCAGGACATCCTAAAGAGTTTGGATGATTTCTTGAAAAGAAAAAAAGGAGTAGGAGAGAAAAAGAAAAATAATATAATGAATAATCGCTTAGGTTACCTAAAGGTGTGGCCTATTGAAGCGAGAGCAGAACTATGAGGTCTCATGTTCTGATATTCGCGTTGACAAAAGATACTAGGTGATTTTTTTTCATCTGCTTATCTTTGGTGGATAAAATTATTCGGTACTTGTATTGATTGTACGTGAGGATAGAGATATTTAATATCTGTACTGATGAGAGGTAGTATGGACTCTATAGAATAATCAAAGTGCGAGCACAAACTGATTGGGACACCACCATCATCAAATGAAGGCGTTTCATCCTACCCGTTGAAATTGAAGGCGTTTTACTATTGAACCAATCCCTTTAAATTCCTTTTGCAGTAGTATTATAATCGTGGAAGAAAAATCCTTTTCTTCCACTAATTTGCCTAGTCCCAATCCATCTACAGGCCTCAGACAACCTACATTAAGTCCAAAAGTATAAAATCCACGACCTACCGGCTATTGTGTATGATTTTCAATTTCAAACTCCACTAGAATAATGAGCCAAAATATACCAATTACAAAACTGTAATTCAATACTCTTCAGTATTCCTGCTACGACTATTTGATTTACAAGTTACTCTAATTTGTAAAGCAAACACTCACTCCAACTCACTAATTGCTTGTGACACTTTGATTATAACTCAATTTCCTAAAACACATTACTGACTCAAGAAAAACACCACACTTGTACTCGACTAGAGTGAACGAAATATAGTTCTTCAGTTGATGTGTAAACGGATAATCTCAGAAGTCCAAAATAGATAGTATTTAAACGCCTTGACTTCAAGATCTTCTAGGAGTCCTATGCATAGTCAGCTTCTCGTTTGATAGGACTCCTACTGTTCCAAGTAGGGGTGTTCATGGTTCGGTTTGGATCGGTTTTTTCCTAAACATAAACCAAACCAAGTAAGTCGATTTTTCAAATATTAGAACCAAACCAAACCAATTAAGTCGGTTTTTTATCGATTCGGTTTTTGTCGGCTTTTCGATTTTTTCGGTTATTTATCGGGTTTTTTCTTAAATATGAGACATACATTACCAAACGCATATTCCGACGACTACATTTTTTAATGTAACACTATTAAAACAATTGCTTTTTGAGAAATCTATCATTTACCAAGATATATTGATGATAATTGAATCAAATAGTGATGAATAATTTAAGTACTCAATAAAAAATCGATTATTTTTAACATGAAATAAATTCTTGTACTTAGCAAAAGAAAACTTCTAATCAAACTAGAATGTAAAGGCAAATAATTAGATGATTATAATAGCAAAGAACTAGACTAAAAATACAAATGACTAATATGTTCCACAAAATTTTAGAAACTTTATATATATATATATATATATATATATATATATATATATATATATAGGCGTAATATTAAATTCAAAATTGCTATTCTTATAGTCGGTTTGGTTCGGTTTTTTTTTTTCCGGTTATTATTAAAACCAAAACCAAACCAATTTTGATCGGTTTTTAAAATTCAAAACCAAAACCAAACTAAACCTAAAAAGTATTGATTTTTTTGATCGGTTTGGTTCGGTTTTTCGGGTTTCTATGAACACCCCTAGTTCCAAGGACTCCACAAGTTTTGGGACTCTTGTCTTTTACTGATTTATTCGTATGGGCAATAACCCTTATCACATGTAACAACTTTCTTCCACCAAACTCGGACCTGGGTAACTTTGAGAAAAAGTTACTGTCTTGCACAAACATACAATTATCAACCAGAGGAGCTGGTCCTTCACCCTGAGGAGATGGTTCTTAGAACAGTTAATCAGCTACGTTGAGGACCTAGTTCTTCGAACATTGCATCTAAACAAACTTTGTTAATCATTAAAATCTCAATACTCAACAAATATCCCTAGATAAAGATATCTGATACCTGTATTAGTGGAAGCTAAGGTCTGTCTAAGCTTTGAGAGATAAAATTATTCGATATATGTACTGGTGAGAAATAGTATACCGTACGAAATAATCAAAGTGTGCGCGCAAGCAGACTGGGACTCCACGTCATCAAATGAAGGCGTCTCAACCTACCCGTTAAAATTGAAGGCGTTTTACTACTGAACCAATCCCTTTAAATTCCTTTTGCAGTAGTGTTATAATCGTGGAAGAAAAATCCTTTCCTCCACGAACTTGCCTAGTCCTAATACATCTACCACCTACATTAAGTCCAAATTAGTTCTTAATCATATAACTTGTCTTCACATGGAAATGCAGGCACTAATGACATCATCCCAACCCATCACACCTATAATTGCAGAAGATGTCATATGGTCACAATCTGAAATAATAAAATTTCCAAAGCAATTATTCATGAGCTGATGCCAGATTGATACATACATCTTAATCATAATTTGGTATGTGTAAACAACGTATTAATATCAATATCTTTGCCATGTGATTCATGTTTGATGCGTTACGCAAGTGGCTAAACTATATTATTGAGATATTATTATGATCTTTAAACTAATCTTCCTTGAGTCATTTGCATAATAATACGACTTCTGTCAACCCTTTTAAAATATGTTGGCTATTGTTTAATAGTTCAATCATTGTAAGCTTGAAATGATGCAAAACTTTATCCTTTAAGGGGTAGTTTGGTTTGAAAATAAGTTATGCTATGATTAGTTATCCTGATATTGTTTTTTATTGACTGTTTAATTGGTATGTTGTATTAATCTTGAGATTGTCAATTTTACTGTTTTATCCCGAGATAATTTATAGTGAAACTATTATTCAAACATCTGGCAGGTATAAGTTATCCCCGTACTATTTTTAACCTTGGGATAACTTATCCCAGAATTAGTAACCAAACAAGGGATAAGACGGTACTAATTTTTATCCCAAGATTACTTTTGCTTATTCATGTTACCAAACAACCCCTTAGCATAATAAGAGTAATTCGACTTTATTATATATAATCATAGAAAGAGTAGAGCGTGATAAATAGAATGGAGAAACAGAAGGGAGTTTATTTACAAGATTTGTGGATCATTATCATCACTAGTTGAAAGGAAGTACTAACAGACTAATTAATTTGATAATGACAACAAAACATCTACATCATTTAATTTTGGATCATGACTTTTTTTTTCTCCCAACAGCAGCAGTACTAAGGCATTGATATATTATCTTAAGCTGTGACAGATGTCTCAACAGCAACACCTGAGTAGTTAACTTCAGCCACCCTGTCAACTTCCCAAAGTTGTGGTAATGCTTCCCTTATGTTGTGGATGCTTTCTAATGCATAATCTGCTCCTACAACTCTTTGTGAATTGCCAACCTGAAAATAACAGTAACAGTACAACATTAGCAACATAACAAAATAAGAGGTAACGGATTTGAGCCATGAAATCGGCCACTGATGCTTGCATTAGGGTACGCTGCCTGCATCACACCCTTTAGGGTGCGGTCCCTCCCGGCCCCTGTGTAAACGTGAGATGCTTTGTGCACCGAGCTATCCTTTTTAGTGCACAAGATTACTATTCCCTCTGCACGTAGTTTTTGAAAGCGCCCACACACCATAAAATAATCTCGGACTGACTTGTGGTCTTATACATGTCATGACATTTTTGTGATTATAAGAGAGTGAGGCTAATGGTAAAATGCAGAGATTGAAGTTAATGAATTTCCGAATATATATATATATATATATATATATATATATATATATATATATATATATATATATATATATATATATATATATATATATATATATATGAATGTCATTATTTTTCAGGCCGAAAGAAAAGAATATCATATAAAATGAAAAAGAGGGAGTACGACTTACCAATACTGTATCAAGACCAACGCGCTTGCCAGCTTGAATGTTACGTACACTGTCTTCAAAGAAAAGCTGAAAATGGAAACTTTCCAAATCAGTACATTGAGATAGCAATGATTTTTTTAAATAGGATTCAAGAAGTTGAAGAAATTAATCATACAGTTCTATGTGGATTAATGTTGGCTATCTTTAAAGCACGTTCAATGGCGATTTCTGAAGGTTTGCAGACAATTGGTGTTTTTGGCAATACTGATCCAGGTTTAGGTTGAGCAAAATGACCAATAATGTCAAAGATCTCAGTGCCATTAGTAGCAGCAGCAGTGTTTGAGGATGTAGCTGATCCCAAAAACTCGATATCGTCTTCGTCATCTGATGGAGTGCTCTTGTGAATTGGATTCAGAGTTTCAAAACATAAAATCCCTTCAAAACAATCTTCTAATCCTAGCCTATTCAAAGCTTTCAGAGCATGGACCTTATCAGCATTTGTGAAGATCTGTAATAGGAAAAAAAACATATTAAAAAGGCTCTATGGCCAGAAAATGAAGGGAGCTTTGGAGCCACGGTTAAGTTGTCTCCATGTGACATATAGGTCATGGGTTCGAGCCAAGGAATCACTAATGCTTGCATCACGGTAGGCTGCCTATATCGCACCTCCCTGGTGTGTGGCCTTTCCCCGGTTCTTGTATGAACGCGTGATGCTTTATGCACCGAGCCCTTCTATGGCCAGAAAATGAAAGGGAGCCTTGGAGTAACGGTCAAGTTGTCTCCATGTGACTTATAGATCACGGGTTCGAGCCGTGGAATCAGCCACTGGTGCTTGCATCAGGGTAGGCTGCCTACATCACCCCTCCTTGGGGTGCGACCCTTCCCGAAATCTTGCATACTTTGTGCACCGAGTTGCTCTTCTATGGCCAGAAAATGTAGACAAAAATGTAAATGAATTGTGAAAATGGACTTACAACTTTGCGGATTGGTAAGCTTAGCAAAAGACTTCTCAGAACAGGGTCAGGCCTTAAATTTTCATAAGGTAACCTCCCATGGATAAAACTGCAAAAAACAAATTGGCAAATGAAGTTCAATAAACTAAAAAAAATGAGAGCTTAAAATCAATTGAGTGCTAACTGCTGCTACAAAAACTCACCTATGGTATTCATCATAATCAAAATCATAGCCAATTGCCTGCCAAAGAAACCAAATTATTTATCTCATTAAGTTAAAGTAGAACTTTCTTTCATTGATCAAATTTTTATGTAAATAAAGGGTAAAAAAAGATTTATTTACCCTAAGGCCAGCCATTGTAGTCCCATAATTCTTGTACAGTAAATTACCCAACTCAGCAATTTTACTTTGTTCTATACCAAGCTTTTCAACCATATAATCTGTAAAAGCACATTGAATTCTAAATTAGACATCATTTAACCATTTTTTAAAAGGATACTTAGCCTAAAAAAATATGAAGAACAGATCAAGTATACCTTCAATATTCTTACGAACACTTGATGCCAAACCAGTGCTAAGAGGATACAAAGTATCATCTAAATCTGTAAATTCCAAATGTTTTATCATCAAACTTGCTCAAAATTTGAATTAAAAAAATGGGATTTGACAGCTAAATTTTACAAAAAAGATAACTTACCAAAAAGAAGACAGTCGTACTTTGGTCTTTGAACATGTCCATATTCCATTTTGGTCTAAGAAAACTTGAGTAAAGAAGTGAAATAGGTAAGAACAGTGGAAAAAGATAATCTAAATCCAGCCAAACCAATTTGAAAATTCAATCCAAGTCTCAATCTACATTTCTTCATAATGGCTTCACAATTATTGATTTCCAACCAAAACCTTGAGTCAGAAAATGTAATTATTACAAGCATAAAAAGAGAGGCTAACATCCTATATCTCCGCACTTCAGAGGGTAATAATAAAAAATTTAAGTCCATAACCTATTTTTTTGTGTCAAGCCAAAAGAAAGTGGACCCTTGACCTCAGAATTCAAAAAAAAAAAAAGAAAAGAAAAGAAAAAACTGCTCCAAAATAGAAAAATTCAAACTTCTTCAAATGCAGAAACAATACTGAAACAAAAGCTAATGCACTTCATAACTAACATCATTTTTAATCATCCAACATATTAACATCAAATACATATGTTTATGATGAAAATTACATAAAAAAATTACCAAAAGGGAAAACAAATTAAAGAGAACAAGAAAGCAGAAGCCTTTCCCTTATATTACTCTTATTGGTTTCTAATTCCTTCAATATTCAAAGCAACGTCAAAGGTTTAAAAAGGAAACAGAAACAGAACGAAGCTTCAAGTAATAGAACTGTTACATAAAATTAGAGAGTTCAAAAAACACATAAATTTTGACAATAATAACACGGTAAATAAATTTCATGTGTTTTTATGATTCAGCAAATCATTACGTAATTGATTAAAAATGTTTGATGCACCTATTCATCAGAAATCTTTTATTTACTTCTTAAAAATTTGAACACGCTTAATGAAATTCTTAACTTCAACACTGATCATAAATGATCCTATCTGTAAGATTTTACTGGATATGGTATTATTGTTATTACGAAACAATATAGAAAACAAGAAAGGGAGAGAATGAAGTAAGAAACGTACCAAGAATCAAAATGGGAATGATCAGAGAGAAGAAAATGAAGATAGAAAGAGAGTTTTTCTTTGTAGTAAAAGCTTTTGTGTAGTATTTGAAAGAAGGGAAGGAAGAAGGGGAGGAATACGAGTTGGCATTGAATGGGTTTATATAGGCAAAGCGTTGCGTCTTTTCTCATTTAAAAATTAAAAGTTAACTAATTATAAAACTGCCTAAGGCTTTCTTCGACTTTTCCTTTTTATTAAAAAGAAAAGAGACTTTTTATTTATGTTAATTTTTTTTTGAAAAAGTCGTTTTTTTTCATATTCCTTTTTGCCTCTCCGTTGTACTTTTGGGACTATTTTTATTGAAACTTTTGAATTTGTCCTCTCCATTTGTTCTTTATTTTCCCCCTAAATATGCCCCATTTTATCTTTCTCTACCTCAAAATCCCCTTGTTGTTTTTAGATTAGTTATTTGAGGAGTTTAAAACTGTTTTGTAAATCTTTTGACAATAGAAGATTATGATTTAGAAATTATATAAAAATGCAAAATATTGAGGAATCAACAATTGAATTCAAATGCGAAACTAGGTGTTTTGACCTTTCGTTTCGAGAAAGATTTATGTTCTATAAACTAAGTATTAAATTGCATTTAATACGTAAATAATACTAACTATGTGGAAAAAACTTAACTCGTAATATTATATAGTGGAATATATTAAACGTCGCTGAAACACTACATATTGTTACTGAATTATAAGAATAATGATTAACCTTTAAATTAAATATATGATTAGTTGACCGTTCACTATCTAATGAACGTAATAGTATTTCATCAAGTAATTTCTGAAAAATGTCGAAAACTTGAGCCAAGAGTTATGGGAGAAAATATCAAGATATAATAATCGAACCTGCCATATCTGGTTTTGGTTGAGGAGTGATAAATATTTCTTTATTCTCAACCAATCATAGGTCTCGAGTTCAAGTACCGATACAAAGTAGCTTTTGGTAGAAAGCATTTTACTCCTGAAATAAAACTTTCTGGCGCATATAAAATTAGTCGGGCTTTAAAGCGAATACCGAATATTATTTAGAAAGAAAAACTTTTGGCAATTTAATAGGACGTCGTCTTGTGTGGTTGTTAGGGTGCGCGTAGAGCCATTGTTCAGGATATATATATTCCATCTTTGATCTCTACTCGATATTCCAACTTAAGATTTCAAATTAATTTATTTAAGCCTACTATTTTTATTCAAACGAATATGCGTCCCAATTTCTGATCTATAATTAATGATGAGATGAAATTAGGGGTGTGTTTGGTACGAAGGAAAATATTTTTCGAAAAATATTTTCTAATTTTTTCATGTTTGGTTGGCTTAAATGTTTTGGAAAATATTTTCCTTATGAACTCATTTTCCTCCAATTGGAGGAAAATGAGTTCATAAGGAAAATATTAATTGGAGGAAAATATTTTCCTTATCAAGAGAAGGGAAAACATTTTTCAAAACTCCTTATCAACCTTTCCTACCCTCACCAACCTACCCCGCCCCCCTCTCCAAAAAAGATTTTTTTTTCTTTCAAATTTCAGTTTTTCCGTTACCACCCACCCTACTACCCCTCTGTTAGGTGTTTGTTCAGATTTTCTTACCATAATTGATTTTCCTATCTCATGAAGGAAAGGACAACATATTTATCATAATTGGGTTTTTCTTTTCCTAGAAGAAAACTATAATTCTTCCATATTTGGCTAGTCTCTTTTCTTGTAGGAAAAGGTTTAGAGTTGTATAAATTGAAGATCCGTCCTTCTCATTCAGTAGCATCCACAATGTAGCCATATGGGGTTTGAGTGTCGTGTTTAGGGGGAGAACTTTACGAGACAAATGTTAGTGTGTCACTTGTGTTTGCCTCTTCGTGAGGTTGTTCTCTCAATATTTTGTGCTCACTTTTTATTATAGTGGATTGCTCATCTCCACTGTGGACATAGGTCTGTTGACCGAACCACGTTAAATGTTTGTGTCTCTTTTGGTAGATTTCTCTTTTTTGTTGTGTGGTTTATCGTCGAATGTTTGCTTTGCTAGCTTCCGCATGACACCTGATTTTTTCGGTCCTAACAAGTGGTATTAGATCGAGGTTCAAGACAGGTTCATCTTGGCGGGTTTAGTTCTAGCCGCAACCTATTTGACGATAATCATGATTTTTGTCTGAAAAATTTGTCCGGTGTGCTACACACGTTGAGACAAACTTTGTGGTGGAGATTTGGAGATGCGACATGTTGAAGGCTATATGAAGAAGGTGGATCAAGTTTATTTTATCAGAAAATTCAGGCCANTAACAAGTGGTATCAGAGCAAGGTTTAAGACAAGTTCATCTTAGCGGGTTCAGTCTAGCCGTGACATATTTGACGATAATCGTAATTTTTGTCAGAGAAATTTGACCGGTGTGCTACGCACGTTGAAAAAAAATTTGTGGTGGAGATTTGGAGATGCAACCCCGTTGAATGCTATGCGAAGAAGGTGGATCAAGTTTATTTTATCAGAAAATTCAGGCCAAGGGGGAGAATTGTTAGGTGTTTGTCCAGATTTTCTTACCATAATTGATTTTCCTATCTCATGAAGGAAATGATAACATATTTACCATAATTGGGTTTTTCTTTTCCCAGAAGGAAAATATAATTCTTCCATATTTGGCTAGTCCCTTTTCTTGTAGGAAAAGGTTTGGAGTTCTATAAATTGAAGATCCGTCCTTCTCATTCAGTAGCATCCATAATGTTGCCATATGGGGGTTGAGAGTCATGTTTAGGGGGAGAACTTTACGGGATAAGTGTTAGTGTGTCACTTGTGTTTGCCTCTTCGCGAGGTTGTTCTCTCGTTATTTTGTACTCTCTTTTTATATAGTGGATTGCTCATCTCTGCCGTGGACGTAGGTCAGTTGACCGAACCACGTTATATGTTTGTGTCTCTTTTGGTATATTTCTCCTTTGTTGTCGGATTTATNTCCCCACTCCCCCCCCCGAAAAAAATATTTTTTAATATATTTTTCAGTTTTAGTTTTTTTTATTTATCGGTTTAAAGCTTCAAAATTTTACAAGTTCCAAAGCTATGAGTTCGGAGGTTTATGTGTTTGGAAGTTTACGGGTTAGAAATTCTGCGGTTCCGAAAGTTTAGCGGTTCGAAAGTTTATGAAAAATGTGGGTTCAGAAGGTTGTTGGTTTGAAAGTTTATGGCTTCATGTTTATTATATCTAAATTATTTATGAATACTCTTGAGAAGTCATTTTCCTTAATTTGCGTACCAAACACCGAAAAATGAATAAGATTACTACTTGTTTTCCAAGAAAATATTTTCTTGGAAAACATTTTCGAAAACATTTTCCACAAAAAATATTTTTTCTTATACCAAACACACCCTAGATCCTCTCCTTCTCTTCGAAAATGTGGTAGGTAGACTACAGCCATAAACTTGAGATAAATGTTGACTCAATTTGCATCAAATGCTAAGTTCTCCTCCCCACCTCAAATTTTAAGACAGGAAAAGGTGCAAATATGCTTTTGAACTATGTGAAATTGAGTGGATTTTGTCTGTCATTAATATTTTCGGCGTAAATATGTTTTTGTCGTTCAATACTTGCGTCAAATATGTCCTTATTTTAAACAATCCCGTATGAAGAAAATATTTGGTTCCACGCACAAACTTTAAGGGCATATATATTTTATCCATTAAAATTCTTAAGCTGTCATGTTATTGAGTTATCTTCTTTGATTTATGATGATAAAATCCTCCTCAAATGGATTGCTTTCCTTTTGTAAATCTCTAATACGAACAAGCGAACAAAGAGAAGCAAAATGTAGAAAAACTTAAACTTTTCGTACGTGAATATCAAATTGAGAGTGGTATAGATATATTCGGTACAACATATTTATTCTCGACAATTACAGTCTTCTTCCCATCGTCAAGCTACTCCAGAGGATTAACCGTCTAGCCCAGTTACTTGCTTTCCTAATTAGATTTTGAGCATTTGCACTGAAACATCTAGATAATTCTAGTCACATGTTGTGCTCATAGTCCTGAATAATATGGTCACAGTTATGAGTATGAGATATTTTAAGACAGGACAAAGCAACATGTTAAAATTAATAGGAACACCATGTTAGCACAGAAACAAAATCGTACATACCACCTGTACGAGACACAAAAATGGAATGATGAATTATCAAAACCTCGCAACTTTTTAAGTTAATAAAGAAATACCCTCAAATTTATATGATAAAAGAAACGAAAAAAGAAAAGAAAAAAGTGCATGAAGTGGACAAAACATGTGTTTCACAGAAGATTAGGTAATTATCTTAGTCCTACGAGAAAAATGCATGTTACATTAGGGATTTTCCTGGGGATTATAAGAGAAATCGGATTTTCCTGCCAAAAAGTTTCCAAAGGAAAAATCGCCGTAGATAGTTACTACATATGAATTTCTGAAACATTGAGTAATTTACCTAGGAATTATAATGGCGCAAGTAAATTACCTGCGAATTTTGTCTCAAGGAAAATTAAGTATCCGCAAGAAATTATTGACAGAATTTTGTGGTCAAAATGGAAATTTCCTCTGAATTTCTATGGAGAAAATCTGCATGAAACTCTCCATGAAAAGTCACAAATAAATCCGTAGGACATTTTGTCAAAATTTGTGGTCACTAGGTAGGTGCCCAAGACACATACATTAAGACTAGTTAGATAATAGTTAAATAGAGGGTGAACGGGTTGTATTAATTAGTTTCAGTAGTATTTGAGATTGGACCATCTTCACCATATAATCAGCAGCTCAATTACGATTTATGCGCTTCAAACGACGCTGCATTAATCCTAAAAAATATTTTCTTACAGTTTGTAGTTCGAAACTAGAAAATATATTTATGTTTTATATTTGTTTTTTTAGTGATATATATTCTGAAAATTATCTTTTCCTTTTTTTACTTTATAAATACCCGATTAATTTATTTTATAGGTAAGTCCATAATATATAGTAAATAGAAAAAAAATATACTATTTAAAAAGTGTGAAGAAGGGAAAAAGCTGATAATTTAGAGGGTAAAATAGATATTTGGCCAATAAAGTTTGAGAAATCTACTTGTGTGACCTTTTTGAGTTTAATAA